GTTCTCCTCATAAAATAAAAATAAAATTAAATTAAATTAAATTAAATTAAATTAAAATAAAATAAAAAGATGGAAGTAGCAAAGTGGTGAGAGGTAGTGGAATTCTGGATAGTTTTAAAATGTAAAACCAAAAGGATTTACTGACTGGCTGGATGTGGATATGAGACAGAATTAATTCAAGGACAACTCTTTCTTTAAGGTTTTAGCCAAGCCCAGGAAAACAATGATGTTGCCATTTTCTAAGATGTAGGAATCTGTAACTCCAGCTAGTATAGAGGGCTAGGAATCAACAATTTTTGGATATGTTGAAATGAGGTAGGTTTGCTTGGCAGGCAGGAATTTGAGGTGAAATAAATTAATGTCAGTTGGGTTTTTTGCACCCATGGTCAGCTGCAAGGGTTCAGGTTGGGGTTTTGTCACATAAATCTGACTAAAGTAGGTGGCAAGGGAGCCAATGGTGAATGTAAGAAAGTGTGGGCAAGTGGTAGCCGTGGGGATCTCAGCTGGGTAAGGAGGAAAGTGAGGACAGGCAGTGTGCTGAGGGACAGTGACATAGTGCTAGGGTCAGTGAAGTCATGGTGTTCAAAAGAGTGTGCAGTAAAGGTCACGTGATGCTCAGAGACTGAGGTGTGGAACTGAGTTTATAGAGAAACTGCAGTTATTGGTCGTGATAAGGTTTGGGATACAATCATGGAGGTCGGTGCCCGGAAAAGGAGAATAGGCAAAGTCATTGAAAAAGTGTGGTCAGGGGGTGCCTGGGTGGCGCAGTCGGTTAAGCGTCCGACTTCAGCCAGGTCACGATCTCGCGGTCCGTGAGTTCGAGCCCCGCGTCAGGCTCTGGGCTGATGGCTCAGAACCTGGAGCCTGTTTCCGGTTCTGTGTCTCCCTCTCTCTCTGCCCCTCCCCCGTTCATGCTCTGTCTCTCTCTGTCCCAAAAATAAATAAACGTTGAAAAAAAAAAAAATTAAAAAAAAAAAAAAAAAAAAAAAAAAAAAAAAAAGAAAAAGTGTGGTCAGGGCACTGAGAAGGCCGAGTATTAGCAGGTCAACAATTGGCTAGTGAAATCTCCAGTTGTATAATAGGAGAAGCGTCAAAGTGAATCTAGAGCTAAAATATTCCAAGAATGAAGGAAAGACCATGAGCTCTCTAGATGTTTGCTACAAGGGGGTTGGATGCATTTGCAAGCATGAGCTCTACTTTTGAGAGTTGGTAGGGAGGAGGGAGAGGCAGTGATCTCATGCTGCAGGGTGACCCCATTTCCACCTGTAGGCCAGAGCAGCTAGGGAAGGAGAACTTACGAAGGCTCATGGGTCCCCCAGGGGGGCTGGGTTTCAGCACAGAAGTAGCTTGATGATGACCACAGAGCAAGTGCTGGTTTTCGATACTCTGTTTACCCTCAGGAACAGTTGTTAGATGTTTAGTACCGCATTGGCCATTGGAGCCCGCAGACTAAATAGTACACTTCGGGGGTAACCAGGTAGACCTGGGGCTGTGTTGTAGTGAAGAAGATCCAGTTTCTTTTCAAATATTTGTGTGTCATTTGGATCATTTGAGACATAGTGCAGGGAAGAGTTACAGCCAATTTAACAAAAATGTTGACTTCACCCGCATACTACTAACGTTAACATTTGAATAGTGAACATGGTTGATCTTACGTTGAATGAAATCTTGTGACGTGTGCAGCCCTCTTAGTGGGGCATCAGCACCCGTCTAGCAGTTTTGCATGTCTGTATGTCTGTTTTCTTTTAAAGATAGCATAGAAGCCAACGTGGAAAACGCGGAGGTGCACGTTCAGCAAGCAAACCAGCAGCTGTCAAGAGCAGCAGAATATCAGGTAATATTTACTGCAGTAAATTACCTCATAACTTTGAGTTTCAGCTCTGTGTGTGTGAGAGAGAGAGAGATCGAGAGATCAGTCGGGTGTAAAGTAGCTGGAGATGTTCAAGTTTAAAATCCCATGGAAGACAGGTCAGATACCTGGTCAGTATAAAAAGTAGCCTGTCTGTTCCCAGGGCTGAACCAGAATTGTGGCCCACAGGGATAGAAAATTCAGTGTTTAGAGTCCTGAGGGGAGCAGGAGATACCTCTAGGCATTTCTCACAGCTGGTGATCTCTGATGCCAGCCCTCACCCTTTGTTTCTCTCACTCTTTCCTTTCAGCTTTTTTTTTTTTTTGGTCCATGACTTTCTGCACCAAAGAGACAAAGATCTTTGTTCTAGAGAGTTCTCTTAATTCCTCTGGCAGTATATTCACTTGGAGTGCCCCTGATCACTAGGTATTCTGTCTACATTCAGCAGACCCTTCAGGAATGAATTGATCTCTTATGTGAATCAGGTTAATACAGGGAGTCCCCTCTATATGTGACAAACAGAAAGTATGTGAAAGTACTCCACCAACATTAGGACCATGAGCTATTCATATAGCTTATGATATGAAGACAATAAGGATAAGGCCCTTTTAAAACTCCCCTTTTTGTCGTTGTTTATAATTATTTTCTCAGACCTTATTGCCTTCTTATAAAATATCTAAGATATCGTCACCATCTTAGGTATTTTCAGTTGCTTTTCACTTTTGTTACTAACCCCAGAAGTTTCCTTTCGTTGCAGTGCCGTTTTTCACTAGACAAACCACTGCATCCTTGGTGATACATTGAGAACAATGAAGCTCTATAGAAATTGCTGAGTTACAGCCCGTTGTATTCAGTGATGCAGTAACTGTCACTCACCTTTACCTTCTGTGGGCCAGTGATTCAGGTGTGTGGCTCAGCAGAATTAATGTCACAGACTGGAGGTATCATTCATAAATAGTCGAACACACCCACATAGCACAGATGCTAGGTTACAACTGCTCAAAACATAGCGGTTAGCAGGATGTATCCATAACTAGGCTTACCTGCCATGTTGTTTTGCTTTTGGATTTTGGAGGGGTGTAGATATGTCTCCCAAGTTTTACTTCCCCCTTGCTCGGGGAAGGGCCAGCCTACCTCCACCCTGGGGAAAAGGAGCACATCTTCCCAGTCTTCTCACCTCCATATCTGGAGCTGCCCCATACTTAACCCCACGGGCCCTGGAGGGAGAAGGAAAGAGCCATGCAGCACAAGCACTGGGGAGAAAAGCAGCTTCCCTCCGGTTCTCTTTGGAGGCCTTGGTATTAAAGTCATGTCTCTGCAAAATACGGCACTTCTCAATAGTGTGGGTGAACCCTGAGTGGAAGGGCAGCTGATAGAGGCTCTTATCGCTGCAGTACCCTACCCCCCACCCCACGCTAGCGAGGGTGCCTTGGGCGCAGATCTCCTGTAGTGGGGAGCCTGTGATTGTTCTTAAAGGTGTATTATACTTGTGTCTGTGGTGCTCACGTGGAGTCTGGGGAAAATACATAGGCAGGATGCTACTGAAACTTCAGAGAAATCGTGCTTCATTTATGAGGAATATTCAGTTGAAAAAGTTGCTGACTATGTGGTATACGGAAAGTCATTATAGTTTTCAGGAGAATTTCACAGAAACCTATCTTTCTGGAAATTTTATGGTACTCCTAGTCGACACAAAGAAAATTTACAGATTTTTTTACTTTGTAAGAAAAAGGATTCCTGCATGTTGCTGTGAGATACGCAAGCCATTAAAGAAATCTGGAAATCTACAGCTGGGCCAGAAATGAAGAACGGAACAAAACTTTTAACCTTTGTATTTTAAATGACTGTATTATAACTTTTTAGCTGTTTGGTGTTTATTTGTATATTGAGATTTTTCATGCAGTTTCTGTTGATATTGAAGAATGGGAATTTTGGAAACTAATACTTCAGGAAAAATTGCCAAGCATTCATGTGTGTTGATATTTTCAGAGAACTCATTTTGAAGAGCAACTCTTTGATAAAAATTTTAAAATGTGTAAGCTTTTAAGCTGTTCTTAGTTTTTACACATAGGTAACCTCAGTCTTTTGATTAAGTCAGTAACCTATTTGTCTGCGTCTCTTTTTTAAGCCCAGAAAAATGACCGATAAAGGTTGAATGATTAGCCCCTGAATTAAACCACTAATTTAAGGAGACTATTTTTTGAAAGAATAGTGCCATTTGTATTTGAAGAGAGTTTGGAGAAGCAAAAAAGTATAGCCAAAAATCTGAGGGCAGTTAATTACTATTGGTTTTACTCTAGAAATGAACCATATGATTTTTCAGTTGCTATAGAGATGCTCCCCTACACATATAAACATGTTTTTTTGTTTTTGCATCTGTAGCGCAAATCCAGAAAAACCCTGTGCATCATCATTTTTATCATTGTCATCGGACTTGTAATTCTCGGTCTCATCATATGGAGAGTGAAAGGCTGAATTATAAAGGAGCACACTGTTGCACTACATTCTCTAAATTATGTACGAAGATTCCTGTAATCATTTTTTTTATTATTATTATTATTCTAAAGCTACTGCATAAAGGATGGCTCCCATACTTTGTTATTTTTATTTGGCAGGGGGAAGTTTCTTTTAGATTCAATCTGATATTTTCTAATACTGAAAGTTTTTCTTGGTATCACTGCTGGCATAACTTCTGTGCTTTTCAATCTAGTAACTCTGAGGTTTTGTCCACGATGTATATGCCTTTCATTTATAATTTATTTGCCCTGTTGACTTAACTTTTGGAATCAGTAAATTTAAAGGTGTGTGTGTGTGTGTGTGTGTGTGTGTGTGTGTGTGTGTGTGTTCGTGTTCTGTGTGCATCTGTCTCTGTCACACAGTGACATGCACCCAGATTTGTGTGACTTCAATTAAAAATCTCAAATTTAATTTTGATATGGGCCAGCAGAGGAAATATTCTCAGTAACGTAGGGAAAATTAACCCACCTGTTTGTGGTGGTTTGTTTTCTTTCGTTTTCTGGTTCATAACAGCACAGATTATCTATTTAACTTTTATTGTTGGTTTTCTCTTAAGACCTTCGTTTACTCTAAATGAAATCAGTGAGTAATTTCCTAGAATATCTCATCCTCCTGATGTGTATATATTAAACATTTGCTGTAGATTGCCTAGTAAAATACTAAGGATAATTGTTTTTGCATAGGACCTGTTTAAGTCTGATGTTTGCTGGGGTATGTGTAGTCACTATAAATGTTAAATGTAATTTGGAGGAAGAGTATGAAAAATCAGTTCATACTATGTTAGAAATCTGGAGATACAACTTGTTATTCTGCTGTGTACTTCCACAGCTATTAGGATGGAAAATTAATTACCTTCCCTGAAATCCTTCAGAATTATGGCTACATGTATATCCTTGGGTCAGAATTACTTTTGGGGAGCAACTTTCCCAGAATTATTGTTTTTGAGCACTAACACTTAAAATTTAGTGTTTACTTTGCATACCATTTTGTACCATCCTCCATTAGAAAACAATTTGGATGTTTGCCAATTAATCACTTGCCTTTTTAAATCAATGTTGTTTTGATGCACTAATCTGAATACTGTAAAGAAGTTTGTCTTAGTTTATAGTTTGTATTTTATAACAATGTTCTTATATAGCAGTTTGATAGTGAAGTCAGTGTTTTACATGGCAAGCTATGAGACTCCAAATGGGAACAAATAAAATATTAAGTAAAGCGTGTCTTTGCAACCAGAATAAAGATGATTTTAAAAGTGTCTGGATAGTTCTACTGTGTGAGGACTCTGCTTTGGTGGGACCAGCACTTGACATAACCACACAGCAGCCCTTCTGTCTTTCTGGAGTACCAGTTTACTCAAAGTGTTTTATTTTGGCAACCCTTAAAAGTTTTGCTACTAGTAGGAGCTGCCTTGCGTGTCAGCAAAACTCCCATTGTTTTCCTACAGGAGACTGTAGAAAACGTTCTTGTGAGTGAGTGATTAGAAGCTTTGAGACTCTGTTTCCCAAATCAGCTCGCTTTAGTGAACAAGATGGGCTATGCAGGGGAATTCGTACAAATACTACCTGATCTGAGGTCAGTGCAAGCCCGCCAGACCTGCTTGAACATGAAAGAAGTGTGCTGTTTCGGGTGAGAAGCCAGTATCTTACAGCTACATAAGACTCCCAATGGCTCCCACAAGTCAGCTCAATTTTTTGCCAGGGTTGTACTTGATAAAATGTTCATTCTCATATAAGCACATTCACTTATTCTGTTCACTTCATGGTGAGTTCCCAGTGATAGCAAAAGTACTTAATATTTTTTGAATGGTTTTAGCACCTTCATTTAAAGTAATATTTTATAAATTATTTTAACTGGGACACAGATCAGTGATTAAAAACAGGAACTTTAGTGGCTTGCATTCTTTTGAGACATACTCACTTTGAGGGAAAATTTTACCCCGGAATGCTTGTAACACAAAGAATAGTCTCGATTTGAAAATATAAAACAAAAAGCATAGTACAATAATAGCAAAGGTTTTCAGGTTCTTGAAGTTTCCTTTAGGTTAGTTTTAGAATCGCTTTGGAAGGTGAAGCTTACACTGTGGACGATAAAATGGGAGTAGCTGGTACGACTGTCTACATATTTGAATCTGAGTCCAACTGAGTCTGAAACTGAAGAAGCTTCCTCATCAGGTGACACATCCTGTTCGTTTTAACGTCCTCCAAAGACATTGTCGAGCAACGCAGATTGAGATTAACCAGCCTCTGTGCTTACATTGAGCGACAGTGTGGCATAAAGTGTTTGTTGTACCGGCCATTAAGTAGGAACGTGTTTGGGTTTTACACAGTGGTTGGTGGCAAAGGAATAACGCGTGCCATCGCAGCGTAAAGCAGCTTGTCTTTAGTGGGCATGGGATCAACTCTAGAAAAGTATACATGTGGGCACAGATGGGGCTTGGCTGAAGACTGCAAACCACGAAGGCAGCGTCTGGAGTCAGGCCCCCGGAGCACCCCGCGGGCCCAGCAACGGCATCTGCGTCGTCGACAGAACGCTGCACTTGGAAGAAGGCTGCCCCTGGATCCTTCACGGTCTTTGCTGCTTTTTTTTTTTTTTTTTTTTTTTTTTAATGTAGAATTTTGTACACACAAAAGCAGCATTTTGAATATCAACCTTTTTGGGCAAGTTTATAATGAAACGTGATTTTTGAAGACCTTTTGTTCCACAAAATCAGTCTGTGGTTTAGCAAGAAAAGTGTGGAATAGCATTTCTAGTTGCTGTAATGTTTTGTTTCTTCATGTAGAAAAAAGAACACAATAAAAGATAAAACCTGTATAAAGAAAAGAGTCCTTGTCCACCTTAATAGTAAAGAACAATTTACAAGGGCAATGTATTCAGGATTTACTTTTTTTTTTTTTTAAGTCAGAAATGACTCCTGTTTATACATTACCAGGTTGCTGCAAAAAAAATAAAAAATAAATTAAAATGGGATTTAGTTGTTTGGGCAAGTTATGAGTTAAGTGACATTTTTGGTTCGTTTAAAGATAATGAAAAATTCTCATTACCGGTAAAGAACATCATCAGGCAGCCTCCTTTCCCAGAAAAAAAAAAAAAAAAAGATCGTTTGTGTATTTTCATGATTCACTTAAGAAAATGAAACCCTGCCCTGTGGATCCCAGACCTCTTCCGTCCACCATAAGGTTTGAACAGCCTGATGTCTCAAGCAAGCAAACACTTAGCAAAATTTTCACCAGCAGGAGCCCGAAAAAAGCTACACTATATACCACTTCTTTGACAGAATGCAACGATATCTTCTCCTGTTAACCCATTTTCTCATAATTCAAATGCATCAAAATGGCCATTTTAATCCTACGTTTTGGCACTTACTTGGTTAACAGAAAATTACATGATATCTTTTTCTCCAAATAATCCTCATTTTAAGTGCAGAAATAGAACTAAATAACTGACCCACTAGACAGATTTTTATAGACACCGCTGCTGCTGGCAGATTTTTAAGAGGTTGGTCACTTAATTACTCAGAGTGGGATTCCTGTAGGTTTTGTGTAGCGATGGCATTTCTCCTTCAAATGTAAGTGGTGGAAGGCAAAACCAGATTTCCTGTGCAGTCGTTACGTGCATAACACCCCTACTTGTTTGAGAGGGAGTCTGCTAGAACTGAACTGAGTCTTTAAATAAACTTGAAAGGGCACTAATTCCCACTCTGGCAAACCCAAAGTACAGATTTTTAAGTGTTTACTGTAAGTACTGCTAAACAGTAGTTGCTAACTCCAAAACCTGTTAGCATCAGTGGAAAACTTAGAAATGCAGCTGGTTATCCTCAGTGAGGATTTACTGGTACGAGTTTCAGTTTCTGACACCTTCTGAAAGTTGCATACCACTGTGTAATGGCAGGTCTGATACACCGAAGCCAGAGCAGGTAAAGAGAACCAAGTTTACATCTCTAGAAATGAGAGATTTAACCCAAGACCAAGATACAAGCTTTTAGTAACTTGCATAGCCGAAGACCACTGATCATGAAAAGCTTTCAAATCAAGGCAGACTAGAAATAAACAGCCAAAGTATAATGTAGTGGAGAATATTGTATTTTATTTCATTCCTCCAAACCCAGGTGCTGTGGTCATTTTAAATTCATTTAAAGGCGTTCTCAGTGTACCTGACCACATCTGACCTATTTTCAGTGCCAGACTTAATGTTATAAGCTCCCTAAAGGTTACCATAACCTTTTAAGATTTAATTACTACTTTGTGGTGGGGAGGATGCCACAATTCAATAAGGTAACCATCATATATCATTTAAATTCGTTCTATCTTGGATGCAGTAAGATAGCATTTATTCTAAATTTGGACTTCCCAGTTGTGTCTTTTCCTGATCTATGATCAAATATAGCTCTTAGTAATTGAGAAATTTTCTATGTTACATTAAACTCCTCAAGCCTGGAATGGCGGCAACTGACCAATACGTTGCTTTGGAATGGCATGGACGTTGAAAATGAAGAGGCCATTCTATACAATGTAAAACATGTTTAATGCTACTATTTTATTAGCATGCTTTCGTTTTGAGATAACTAGTTGTAAAAAAAAGAAAAAAAAAACAGTACAGAGATCCCTCTCATGTACCCTCCACCCAGTTTACCCCGTGGTAACTGTGCAAAACTATACTATCACATCCAGGATAATGGCATTCATAAAGTCAATGTGTAGAAAATTTCCATTTACAACATTCAAACACAAAAACGCCTCCTGTTGCCCTTTTAAAGCCACACCTACTTTGCTCCCGCCCCCACCTGCTCCTTCCAACCATAATCTGTCCTCTACCTTTATAATTCTGTTATTTCAATATTATATAATTGGAATATTACAGTAGGTAACACTTTGGGATTAGCTTTTTTCACTCAGCATGATTCTCTTAGAGATTCACACTGCTTATTTTGTGGGTCAAGTGCATCTGATAGTTGCTTCCTATTTTGGTATTGAGTAGTGTTCCATGGTATGGATGTGTCACAGTGTGTTTAGCCATTTACCAGCTGAAGGATCTCTGGTCAGTTTGAGCTGTTACGAATAAAGTTGCTATGTTCATTTGTATACAGGTTTTTGTATAAACATCGTCTTCATTTTCCTAGGATAAATGCCCAGCAGTGAAATCACTGAGTCATATATGGTAATTGAATGTTTAGTATTTAAGAAATGATCAAACTGTTTGCCAGAGTGGCTGTAACCAGTTTACATTCCCACCAGCAATGTTTGAATGACCCAGTTTCCTCACTTCCTCATGGGCATTTGGTGATGTCATTGATTTTTATTTTAGCTATTCTGATAAGTGTGTGGTGATCTGGTGGTTTTATTTTATACTTCACCAAAGGCTGATCATATTGAACATCTTTTCATGTGCTTCTTGGTGCCTGTAATTCTTCTTCCGTGATGTGTTTCTTCATCACTCTTTTTCTAATTGGGTTATTTTTTTGTTTTTACTGTTGAGTTTTGAGTGTTTTTTTAATAATTTTTTTTAAAGTTTATTTATTTATTTTGAGAGAGTGTGACCGAGGAGGGGCGGGGGGAGAGAGAGAGAGAGAGAGAGAGAGAGAGAGAGAGAGAGAGAGAATTTTAAGCAGGCTCCATGCTTAGCACAGAGCCCGGCATAGGGCTGGATCCCACAACCCTGGGATCATGACTTGAGCTGAAATCAAGAGTTTGGCACTCAACCAGCTAAGCCACCCTGGGCCCCTGTTTTTCTTTAAAAATATATTCTAGGGGCGCCTGGGTGGCTCAGTCGGTTGGACGTCCGACTTCAGCTCAGGTCATGATCGCGCGGTCTGTGAGTTCGAGCCCCGCGTCAGGCTCTGTGCTGACAGCTCAGAGCCTGGAGCCTGTTTCAGATTCTGTGTCTCCCTCTCTCATTGACCTTCCCCCGTTCATGCTCTGTCTCTCTCTGTCTCAAAAATAAAGAAACATTAAAAACAATTTTTTTAGATATATTCTAGATACTAGTCCTTTGTCCAATACCTAAATTGGTTTGCAAATATTTCCTCTCACTCTGTAGCTTGTCTTCCTCTTAATGGGGTCTTTCACAGAGCAAAGGTTTTTAATTTTGATGAAGTCTAGTTTATCAGTTTTTTCTTTATGGATCATGTTTTTGTTATCACAAACTCTAGCCCTAGATCACAAAGATTTTCTCTTTTGTGTTCTTCTCTAAAAGTTCTGTAGTCTTACATTTTACTTTTAAGTCCATGATCCATGTAGAA